ACAGCAAAAGGGAGGTCACAGCAGAAAAGTTAGGAAGCAAATTTTTGCCTTCAGAAACTACAGGAGCCCAAGTCCAAAGAGTATAAAGACAACTTGGGATGTATAAAGTATAAAGACAACTTTCAGGATGGACATTAGAGGGACTTCCCTGGTGGTCCAGTGACTAAGATTCAGTGCTCCCAATGCAGGGAGCCCAAGTTCAATCCCTGGTCAGGAACTAGATCTCACAAGCCGCAAAGAAGAGTTCATGTGCCTCAACTAAAGATCCCAAGCACCACAAGTAAGACCAAGTGCAGCCAAATAAATAAACACATTTTTTAAAAAGAAGAAGAATGGACTTTAGAACCTGACCACATTATTGTTATCCACCTGCCCCCAACCTAGGGATAATGATGGCGGTGCTGAGAAACAGAGCACACTTGTTGACAGAAAACTGCTTAGAACCTGAAAAAGGAGATGCCCTTTTCTAATCCATCAGCCCAGATCTGGAGCCACTTCTAATTTGCACAAGAAATTAGGCCAGCAGCAGCTTTGTCCTTCCCCACCCCTGTGCTTAAAATGTGACACTGTTGCACTTCTAACCCCAAACAGCTTGAGAAAACAACAAAATCCTAAACCTGTAGTCCTATAACTCATTCATTTATTCAACAAGTATTTACTCAGCCCCTACAGTGTGCTCTGGAACGTTTCCTACATCTTGCATCCCCTGGGCTGCCTTTAATCTCTCTGTCCCACCCCATGTGCCCTGCAAGCCTCTAGTCTACAATCTATTTACTGTTTCTTAGCCAGCATCCACCTCCTGACAAGCAGGTCTGCCATCCTTTTCCTCCAGAGTAGAACATTCTTCTATACTTCCCTGTCCCCCAGGCTTTACCTCCTTCTTCACGGCTTAATTCAAAGCCCTTCATCCTTTCAGGGCTCAGTTCCTCTCACTTCCTTTCCCCCACTTCCCATATTCTATCACCAATATCTGATCTCAACTCCCCACACAAACATCAGGAAGTTTGACAGGAGTAATGTGGAAAAGCAGGATCTGGAGCTGTACGCTTCAGGAATGAGGTGTATGTGTGAAGAAGGACATGGTGAAAGACAACAAAGTGGAAAATAGACTGATGACTTGAAAGTGAGAGCTAGTGAGGAGAACTGAGGATGGAATTGGAAAATGGTCTGGAAGTAGTCATGAGAATACCTCTGGTCTTAATCTGTTTAGGCTACTATCACAAAACTGCCAGCGCTTGGGTGGCTTATAACAAAATTTATTTCTCACAGTTCTAGAGTCTGAAAGTCCAAGATCCAGGAGTCAGTAGATTTGGTGTCAGGTGAGAACTAGCTTCCTGGTTCATGGATGGCTATCTTCTCCTGTGTCCTCTTAAAGTGGAAGGGACAGAGGGAGCTCTCTGGGGTCTCTTTTATAAGGGCACTAGTCTCATCCATAAGGGCTCCACCCTCATGACCTAATCACCTCCCAAAGCCCCTCATACCATCACACTGGGGATTAGGTTTTAATGTTAATTTGTGGGGGTCACAGTCAGTCCACAGTATGTAACCTGCTTGTAGGCCCAAGTGAAAAGGAGCAGGACCCTGTGGTCCTCCCCATCAAGGACTTCCACCTGCCTTTTGTCTGTGGAAAAACTTCAGTCAAAGAATAAGTTTAATCAGAGCAATGAGAAAATGCAGAAGCAAAGAAAAATAGTCCAACAATACTAAATAATAATAGTTTAGTCAGTAAGCAAAGTCAAAGATTTTTAGTTCCTTCTCAAGGGCTATAGATAATATTCTGAGCCATATCCTGTGAGCTGTTTCATAGATACTGAAACTCCAACCAGGCGGAAGAAGTTAACTACACAATGACCAGACTGTGTTGTACTTAGTCGTTCAAATGTGTCTGGCTCTTTGAAGCCCCATGGACTGCAGCCAGCCAGGCTCCTCTGTCAATGGAGATTCTCCAGGCAAGAAAACTGGAGTGGGTTGCCTTGCCTCCTCCAGGGAATCTTCCCAACTCAGGGATCGAATCCAGGTCTCCTGCATTACAGGCAGAGTCCTTTACTGACTGAGTTATCAGGGAAGCCCAAGAACACTGGAGTGGGTAGCCTACCCCTTCTCCAGGGGATCTTCCTGATCCAGGAATTAAACTGGGGTCTCCTGCATTGCAGGTGGAGTCTTTACCAACTGAGCTACCAGGGAAGAAGATCAGATTGTAGCCATGACATAAACTGCCACAATTCCAAGAACTGGCCTCAAAAAAATGGAAACAAACTGACCTTGGAACTGAAGATTAACTGCATGTAAAACAATCAAGGTGCCACTGGTCAGACCACCAATGACCAATTTCAAGATGACTGCCAGAGCTGACTGTGCTGTTTATGCATGTAGCCCCCTCCCTCTTGCCCACTGATTGTCAGTGGGGAGAGTCAACCTTTGGACAGGACCTGCCCTCCTCTACCCAGTGGCCAGCATCCACAGTAAAGCAAGCTTTCCTTTCCACCAACCTTGCGTCTTTATTAGTTTTTGAGTGGTGAGTAGCCAGACCCCACTTTTAGTTACACAAGGAGTGTTGGAGGGAAAAGGACCAACACCTGCAAAAGAACCAGTGTCCTGTGGAGAACCAGATCTCCAGTGTAGTAAGAAGGTGAAGAGAATATTCAGAGAAGTGAGGTATAGAGGGGATGTTGTGAGGGCACCGTGGAAGGGTTTCAAAAGTTGAGGAGGAATGAGATACAGAGTCCGAAAAGGGATAATGAGGCCATGTGGAGATCAGAGTCCGAAGGATGAGAGATCACTTGGAGATCAGGGCTGACATAAATGGAGAGGAAGGCAAGGTGGATTAGTGCAGGACCCCAGGCCTGATAGTAGTTCGCACAGTTGTGGGTGGTGGGAGCCAGTGGGTGAGGGTTGGCCTGGAGCAAGCACTCAGAGTTCTTGCCCACTGCAAATTTATAATCTGTTGGAGGAAACCCATATAAAGTGACAGAACAGTGCACCCCAGGTTAACTTTGGGATTCAAAAACTATGGAAGCCTATAGGAAGGTCACCCAACTCAAATAAGGAGAGCCAAGGAAAACTGACGGGGGAGGGATAGGGAGGGGAAGAGAGAGAGAACAGGAGTAGAACTCCATCAAATTATACTGACACTACCAGAAAATAATTGAGGTGCTTCTCCTACAGCAATGAATCTTTGTACTACACATGATCTTAGCCAAAAGGCCAAGTAGATATGAAGTGAGTCTTTGTACAAATGAACCATAAACTAAAAGAGTTGTGTAATACTTTATATTCACATTATTTGAATAGCCTTTGATGTTGCCAGAGTGAAATTTATTGCCTTTGGCTAGAGAACTTTTCAAGATTTACACAGCAAAGGGTGAGTATAATACTATCTTTAATATAAGTTGTAAAATTCTAAATAGATGTAAATTAGAGATTTTCTGAGTGTAAAAAAATAGAAAACATTTCTAAGAGTTTAATACATCCCTCTCTATTACTTGAAATGTCTAAAATTATTTCTGGTATTTAGGGTGATGGTTATAGAGAATCAAATTGATGGCAACTTCCTCAACTCCCCTATGTTAACATTGGATGAGTGCTTAAATGTACCTTATGTAATCCTCATAACAACCTGAAAGATAATAATTTCCATTTTTATTACAAGAAGTGCGATGCTTAGAAGGATAAAATAACCTACCGTGTTCCACAGTTAGTGAACAGCTAAAGCAAATTCACAACTGTCTGCTAAAACCATTGCCTCTTCCCTTACACTGTGATGCAGTAACATTTTCAAGATTTTTTTATTGCAAAAAGCTATTCATGTTGTCCACACTAGTTAGAGATCCACTAACCACATGCAGAAGTCTCGAGGAAAACTACTATTGATTAGATCTAAGAAGCTTTTCATATGACTGTTAATACATAAAGCAGAATAAAATATAATAGCAAGAATCTCCCTCTAAGGAACTCTGCAGATGACAGGCTAGTTTAGTGAAACAGATCTGGTTGTGTTCAGTAGAAGGAACACATTGGAGACAGGCTGACAAGGCTGGCCAGCAAGAAAACCCTAATGGGAACACTCATAACACCATATCTAAAGAGCTGGTGTTGAAAATAGACTTAGTCTACAAAGCATCCTCATAAAAAGAAAAAAAAAAACGGTATCTGTTGGCCCATGAAGATGGATTGCTAGTCTAATGTAGAATATTTACTCATCCTAAAATAAACCTATGAGATTATGTTTTATAAAGACAGAAAGTTTCAATGGCGGTGACTAGAGACAGTGATGTATCAATCTTCATCAGCATCTATAAAGTTCAGACAAAATATTTGCAAAGCCCTAATTCATGACAGATGATAAACCCCAGGGTTTTGTGCAACACAGTTTAAACAATTAAAATTATGTATTACTATCCTATGCATGGCTGTTCTGTTATTTAAATAATTCCCTCTATGGGGGCATTTAATTAGTTTCTATTTTTCTCCAATGTATACAGTGTTATAATCAATGCCCTTTTACATATGTTTTGGCATGATTCCTTGTTTCTTTAGAATATAGTCCTAGAAATCCGGGTCAAAGCACAGACACACTTTTGAAGTTTCTTATAGATACTGCCAAAATGTCCTCTAAATATTCAAATATACAATGTTCAGATTTCTAGCTCAATGAAAGTTTCTAGGATTCTTCTCAGAGTAACTAAGAGCAAAAGGAAGATATTAGATCCAGAATTATGGGTTTGAGCCCTATCTTTACTGTTTGTTAGCTGTGTCACCTGAGTCAAATTACTCAACTCTACTGTTTCTGCTCCTTGATCTATAAATTGGTTGTGTGTGTGTGTGTGTGTGTGCACGCACACATGCATGCTCAGTTGTGTCCAACTCTTTACCACCCCATGGACTATAGCCCGCCAGACTTCTCTATCCATGGAATTTTCCAGGCAAGAATATTGGAGCAGGTTGCCATTTCCTCTTCCAGGGAATCTCACTTCCAAGTAGCAAGCATCTTTTAATTTCAAGAATTAAATAAATCAATGTCTGTAAAGCTCTTAGAACCAGGCCTAGTAAGAAGCCTTGCATAAGTGATCGCTATTATAATTATCCTTGGTTCTTATATTTCCCGACTTCAAAACCAATTTTTAAGAAAGAATTAAGGGAATATGAGTTTGCCTTTTTTTCACTTTTCCCAAATTAAAATATTTTTTTAAAACCCAGTACATAAGCAGCACTTCATAGAAAACATTATATTTTGATAACACTAAAATTTAGGAAGAACACAATGTCAGAATAAATGACTTTTATTCTTCTATTTAACTTTAAGATAAAATTTTTATATTATACTTGTTTTTCTCATTTATCCATGGAGCAGTGAATATGTTATTTGTTCACTGTGTTTGAGAACCACTGGACAGCCATATTTTCCAAAACCCCTACATTTCTATTTTTTTTTTTACTAATTCATAGTTAAAGGTTTTAAACTTTTTTTTTTAAATGAGTCATAGGATTTAAACAGTAGCTTTTGTGAACTATGCAAATAAAACATAATAAAATCATAAGGTCAGCTTTCTGACTTTGCAAGATGCAAATAATAGAGAAATAAACATTCTTTTTATATGGTCCTAAGAGAACATAAAAGTGAAGCTAAAACCCGTTCTGTGGCCACGAAGCTTGACAGAGCTACTTCTGTTCCGACAGGAATCCCTATAAAGTTCTTGAAGTAGAAATGACATTTCTGAGCACCTAACAGCCAAATCATTTGTGAAAGATCCAGACCTTGAATTAACTCCAAGCAAGATCTAGAAAGGAACACAGAAACTCTTAGGGAAACCACATGAACTAATGGCAGCAAAGACATTAACCACTGATCTCTCCATCCATAATTGTCTCCATCTTGAAAATAATTTGTTTGGGATGAAGGATGCTATTGCATGATTTGTCAACCAGCTTTCCAAGTCACTTGCTAATTGTTGGGTACATATTTACCAAAGAGCTAACAGTAACAACTAGCATGTGATGAGTACACACTAGGTGTCTTGCAGTGTTCCTGGCCTCCTCTCTTTTTATCATCACGGCTATTTTCTGTGACAAGGCAATATTGTTCTCATTTCTATTTTAAAGGTGGCAGAACTGAAACTTGGAAGACACTAGAAACTTGGCTCAAAGTTTGCACAGGTGGAACCAGACGACAAACCGATAACAGCTGACTCCATGGTCTTACTCTTAAGCATTGTGCCACACTGCCATTCTAGATCCTATTTTATTGTTTTTAAATCTTAAGGGGAAATACAATAAGACTTCCTCATCTCATACGAAGAGAAAATACACACCAGTCATAAATGAGTATCCTGGAAATGACCTGAACTACAGGAAATCTTCCATCACAGACCAGACTCCCTACTTTGTTACCCTTGGCAGATCCCAGCGTTGATGTTCTCAGTTCTCTTTCTGAAATGAGTGATGTCTGAAAAAACAGGAATTCATAGGGGCAAATGAGTCAATCAATTTTTTCTTTCCTTAAATTTAAAGTTGGCTCCTACCTAACAATTTAGATGGGGGATAGTGTAGGAAAGGAAGAAGATGCCAAGATTCTTAAGTATTATTTTAGGAGATTGGCAATCACTTCATTTCTTTTATTAATTATACAGCTAGTAAGGCCATTAAGTTCAGTTCAGTTCAGTTAAGTCGCTCAGTCGTGTCCAACTCTTTGCGACCCCATGAATCGCAGCACGCCAAGCCTCCCTGTCCATCACCAACCCCCAGAGTTTACTCAAACTCATGCCCATCGAGTCAGTGATGCCATCCAGCCATCTCATCCTCTGTCGCCCCCTTCTCCTCCTGCCCTCAATCCCTCCCAGCATCAGGGTCTTTTCCAATGAGTCAACTCTTCGCATGAGGTGGCCAAAGTACTGGAGTTTCAGCTTCAGCATCAGTCCTTCCAATGAACACCCAGGACTGATCTCCTTTAGGATGGACTGGTTGGATCTCCTTGCAGTCCAAGGGACTCTCAAGAGTCTTCTCCAACACCACAGTTCAAAAGCATCAATTTTTCAGTGCTCAGCTTTCTTCACAGTTTAATCTCACATCCATACATGACCACTGGAAAAACCATAGCCTTGAACAGACAGACCTTTGTTGGCAAAGTAATGTCTCTGCTTTTTAATATGCTATCTAGGTTATTAGACCCCATCAAAAAAAGGACAGAAGACCTAAAAAGACATTTCTCCAAAGAAGACATAGATGGACAATAGGCACATGAAAAGATGTTCAACATTGCTAATTATTAGAGAAAGGCAAATGAGGTACCTACAATGAGGTACCACCTCACACCAGTCAGAATGGCCATCATTAAAAAATCTACAAATAACAAATCCTGGAGAGGGTGTGGAGAAAAGGGAACTGTGCTACATTGTTGGGAATGTAGGCACTATAAAAATGTAGGTACTATAAAAAACAGTATGAAGATTCCTCAAAAATTTAAAAATAGAGTAGCCATATGCTCCAACAATTCCACTCCTGGGCATATATCCAGACAAAACTATAATTCAAAAAGATACATGCACTTCAATGTCCACAGCAGCACTATTTACAATAACCAAGACATGGAAGCAATCTAAATGTTTATTGAAAGATGAGTGGATAAAGAAGATGTGAAATATATATATACATATATATGTGTGTGTATATATATAATATATAATGTAATACTACTCAGCCATAAAAAAAGAATGAAATAATGCCATTTACAGCAACATGGATGGACATAGAGATTACCATACTAAGTGAAGTTAGAAAGAGAAAGACAAATACCAAATATCACTTACATGTGGAATCTAAAATATGACACAAATGAATTTATCTATGAAACAAAAACAGACTCACAGACATAGAGACTTGTGATTTCCAAGGGGGAGGGAGAGTGAGGGAAGGGTGGATTGGTAGTTTGGGACTAGCAGATGCAAGCTATTATATATAGAATGGATAAACAACAAGGTCCTACCATATAACACAGGATATATTCAATATGCTATAATAAACCATAATGGAAAAGAAATTTTTAATTTTAATTAAAAAAATAGTAAGGTCATCAGAATGACAGGCACACATGAAGAAGAAATTTATTTATGAATTATGGTACTGACAGCCAAGGATTGTGAAGCCTCTGAGATTATGCCCTGCAAATTAACCTGTAAGCCTGCCATGGATTCATGAATGATGGTACAAACCGTGATACTCCTGAGTAAGACACAAAAAAATTTACTACTCAGACCAATACCGCTAACCGAAGTATCAGCACATTCTTGCACTGGTTCCCAGAGTCCCAGAGTTCCCACAGGATGACAGGAAAGGGACCAGATAACATCTGCACAAGCACTGGTTTGCATGACAGGAGTGGAACCCTGAATCTTTCATACCTTTCATCACATGTATGTGCTCAGTCACATCAGACTCTTTTGCGACCCCATGGACTGTCGCCTGCCAGGCTCCTCTGTCCATGGGATTTCCCAGGCAAGAATATTGGAGTGGGTTGCCATTTCCTTCTCCAGGGGATCTTTCCGACACAGGGATTGAACTCTTGTCTTCTGCATCTCCTGCACTGCAGGCAGATTCTTTACCTCTTGAGCCACTGGGGCTTCCAGAATCTTTCATAATTGGCAGCAAATAAACCTGTTCTTTTGCTGCAGGAAGTAATACTTCTATTTTCCAAGGCCACTTACTATACAGATACCTCTGAAAAGAGGGGCTGGAACCAGTACAATCAACGCCTCTGCTCACAAGACATGCAGAAATGTGAGAGACCCATGGGAAACCATCACCCAACAACAACCATTCTGCTTGTTACAAAAGTACATGTTTGAAGGCTGTATCTTGTTTAGACTCACTGACTTTTCTAAAGGCTGCAGCACCCAGAAATTATTTGCCAGGCTCTTGGACTATTCCTTTTGAAAAAGGTCTGTTTTGCCACTACACGTGTATTTTCTGCAGATCCTAATGAGTCAATGGATTCTATAAATAAAATGTTCACACAAATGCAGTGTGGAAACTAACCCAGAGCATTCCAAGTTAACATGCTGTAAATGTACAGTGTAGGTGGTTATACAAAGAAGACTGTTGTATACAATTTCCAATAGCAAAATGATCTCAATAACCAGTTATGAGGCTCCTTTTTGGCCCCACAGTGTGGCTTGTGGGACCTTAGTTCCCTGACCAGAGATTGAACTTGTGCCCCTTGCACAGGAAGCAAGGAGTCTTAATTACTGGACTTCCAGGAAAGTCCCCGGGAGGCTTTTTTTAAAAGTGTGATCCTTTAAGTTCAGATTGGGTCATATTGACTCCCCATCTACTCATTATCTCTAGTGAAAGATCAACTAAAAAGAAAAGGAGTATCCTCTCTTAAGCCCAGTTTTCTTATAAGAATCCAAAATTGTGAGCTATGATATATATTGCCTCAGTTCAGTTCAGCTTAGTCTCTCAGTTGTGTCCGACTCCTTGCGACCCCATGAACTGCAGCACGCCAGGCCTCCCTGTCCATCACCAACTCCCAGAGTCCACCCAAACCCATGTCCATTCAGTCAGTGATGCCATCCAACCATCTCATCCTCTATCGTCCCTTTCTCCTCCTGCCCTCAATCTTTCCCAGCATCAGGGTTTTTTCAAATGAGTCAGCTCTTAGCAAGAGATGGCCAAAGTATTGGAGTTTCAGCTTCAACATCAGTCCTTCCAATGAACACCCAGGACTGATCTCCTTTAGGATGGACTGGCTGGATCTCCTTGCAGTCCAAGGGACTCTCAAGAGTCTTATCCATACCATAGTTCAAAAGCATCAATTCTTTTGCACTCAGCTTTCTTTATAGTCCAACTCTCACATCCATACATGACCACTGGAAAAACCATAGCCTTGACTAGATGGACCTTTGTTGGCAAAGTGATGTCTCTGCCTTTTAATATGCTGTCTAGGTTGGTCATAACTTTCCTTCCAAGGAGTAGTGTCTTTTAATTTCATGGCTGCAATCACCATCTGCCCTTTATATGAACCAGAAATTAGACCTGCATTTTACAATCATTATGCATAATTCTGAATAAGAACACTATAAATATATTTTTCCTTTATCATAGACTAAAGTATCACAGACCAATCTCATGGATGAGATTGCACATATTTGTCCAAGTGAATAAAATAAATATTCTTTTATTGTATCAACACTCTCATTTATTTATTCAAGTCATACCACACAGCATGCAGGATCTTATTCACCAACCGGGGATCAAACTCACATCCCCTGCACTGGCAATAGAGTCTTAACCACTCGACTGCCAGGGAAGCCCCAATAATGATGATTCTTAATTGCACTCAAATCAAACTAAATTTGGGGCAAAATACATTCATGTTAAAATGACATGGAAGGGCAGATGGTGGTTGTCAGTGTTGGGCCATGGGGTGGGAGAGGTGAAGGTGGTCAAAGGGTGTAAAATTTCAGTCATAAGATAAATATACACATTACATTAGGATATAATGTACAGCATGGTGACTATAGTTAACAACGCTGTTTTGCACATTTGAATGTTGCTAAGAGAGTGGATCATAAAAGTTCTCCATATAAGATAACAATTATAACTGTTATTGTGGTGATCATTTTGCTATACACATATATCAAATCATTATGTTGTACACATAAAACTAACACAATGTCATATGTCAATTATATCTCAGTTTTTAAAATAGAAAGAAATAGAATGTAAAATGGTAATAATATACAAAAGCCTATCAGTCCCACTGGCATTTTTTCAGAATTACCCCAATCCAGTAAAAGGCCTCACACATAGTTGATGTAGATAGTTGCCAAATGAGGGAAAATATTGATATAAATGAATAAGCACTCTTCTCTGTCATGTATACCTTGCTTACTTCCTTTTCTTCCTGAGGAATATTGGCTTCTTTTCCTCTCAACCATCAATACTATCTTCACCCCTAAAACTGCACTCATTCCTTTTTCCCAATGGCTCACATGATTCTGAGTCTCACAGAACCACCTTCCAATAATTAAAAGCTTAATATAATGAGGTTCAGAGATCTATATTCAGAACATTCCTTGTAAGTATTTCTTTTGCCTGCCATAACTCTAGATAGCAGGCCTGGGTTACAAAAATTAAAACAACCAATGAAGCTTGAAGGCAAACCATTCTGTTCCTCATATTCATAGGTTTACAGCTGAACTCCATGCAAGACATTTTCATTGTCATTTCTCTAAATCTTTTGAAGGTTGCTTTAAGTCTTATACTTTCCCATTTATTCCCACATGCCAATGCCCCACATCATTCATAAAATGAAACAGTAGCAAAGATTTGCTGCTTCAAAATGAGGACATACTGACTTTTCCACAAATTCATTTTACCCAGATATAAATACCCAAATACTGACAAAAAAACTATGGGGAAATGTGCCATGATATAGAATTGCATCTCAAATATTATTTTTGATGATGTTTGTCTGGCAGAGTCCTATATATCTGTGTTTCTATAGTTTTGGATACATAGCCCTACAAAATGTGAAATAGAATTATCTCCTAATTTCAATAAGGCCTGCATTGGCAAATGATCAGAAATAAACCCAAAACGTGACTGAAAGACAATTTTTTGATGTTTTAAGAAATGCAACATTCAATGGAATCAGAGGTTGGTCTCAAAAGAGATGTCATTCTCCTTCCTTGAGTCTCATAAAACACAAACACACACAAACACAAAAATACACCCTGGAGAATACTTACCAAGAGCTAAGCTCTAAAATTAAAGAATCTGTAGAAAATACAATGATGCACCTGAAAATATTGCTTCAGTATTTCAGTATTCAAAAGTTTTCATTCTCTCTTTTGTGTGAAATTCAATTACACAGAAAGAAAACAAATGGAGTAAAGAATGAAAATGGCATATGGGATTTTTGTTTCAATTACTATCAACTGAACTCTAAAACAAAAAGACCATTTATGTAGCAATTGCATCTAATGATGTACATTTTTCTCCTGTCGGGCTACCCTCGATTTTAAAAATACCTTCTTTGGAGCCTCAAAGCACTAAACCCAGTCATTAACTCCTTTATAATAACAAATGATTTCTCCCCATAAATGCAAACAATAATAATCTTGCTCTAATCTTGACATTTCTGTCAAAAAAAAAAAAACTTTTAAAAACTTTGATATTTTACTAAGAAAGACTCAGTGAGGTATTTACTTCTTTCTAGAAATATTTCATCAAGCACACTGTGACCATTCTAAAACAGCAAAAAGGAAAAGTATGAATCTCATTGTTTTAACTTAATGTATTTCTTTAGAATGAGAAAAAAAAAAGCTACTCTTATGTACAAATGCAACACTGATAAAAATATCAAAGCATACATCTATAAGATTAATCATCTAGAAAATTAAAATACTAAAATTCTTCTTTGGATTCACTTAAATGGCAATATTTAAGAGATGACTCAAGAACAATTAAAATTTTGCTCCAAAAGATGAAAAAAACTAATTTAACACATTTAGATAGAAACTTTATATAACTCTCTCCATATAAATATATATATAACTATACATTTTATGTGTATAGAATACATGCAACCATAATGATATATATATATATATATAAATGATAATATATAAGTATATATTCATAAAAGTATTTATATGTATTTATATTATACATATAAACTAAATATATATAAGGGTTCGATCCCTGGGTTGGAAAGATCTCCTGGAGAAGGGCAAGGCTACCCACTCCAGTATTCTGCCCTGGAGAATTCCATGGACTATCCATGGGGTCCCAAAGAGTCAGACACGACTGAGCAACTTTACTTTCACTTTCAAGTATACATATGTATATATATTCACTGTCTAATTTATGTCATTTGAGCTTGAACTGGTAAGGTATACAAAACACTTACCATAGATGCCCCAGTCTCCCCCCAAAATTTCATTATTTTAACAAGAAACATTCCTTTGAGCCAAAAAGAACTTAAATATCAATGACAAGCTAGTGGTTACATTTGAAACTCTTCTGCCACATGGAAAGCAGACTCTAGCACCCACCTTCTCCCACACCTCAAAACAGTACTACATACCTGCAAAAGTTTTGGAGTTCCACCCATATACGCCTGAGGCAATGGGGCAGTCAGATAACAGATGTCACCCCTGCCAGTCCTCCTCCTGGAGATGATGCAGTGTGGTGCAAAGAGCGATGGACTCTAGAGGCCACAAACCTGGAATCCAATCCTTTTGCTAATGTTGAGTCTTGGGCTAGTTGCCTTCTATCTCTGTGAGCTTCAGCTGTCCTCATCTGTAAAATGAGGAAAATAAAACCAGCCTTCAGGGTTGTAGTAGAGGTAGCACATACCAAGTTTCAGGCAGAGTTACAGGACAGAGAAAGGTAGGCATGAGGGAACCCTGCTGATGGGGGAAGTAGGACAGTTTCCAAAGTCTGAAGCAATGAAAGTAAGTATTTGTGAGATCTCTGAAAACTTTGTCTTGGGCTAATCCTGAACACCTTTATTAAGGATGGAAATTATTTTCTTTCATGCATTCACTCATCTGTTAGGTCCACAATTACTGAGCTTCTTATCTATGCTAGCAAGGCAGACAGACCCCATATATAACTATAATACACAGATGCTATCACTGGTGAAAGGGTGAAGCGAGAGCTTGAGATGACAGTCAATGAAGTCCTGAAAACAACAGGGAACATTTCAAGTCAAGTCACATAAAGTCAGAGAGGGGTTAGTAGAGGGACACTGCCAGGGGGTTTCAGGGCCACATACAAGAGGTTCACACCAATCTCTCTAGGAGTATGAAGCTGGGAGCAATTGTACCAGGAGATCAGTGGGGTGGTCTCTCCATCATCATTGTGACAGGGACTCAGATGGGGAGTGGTCTCAGAAGTGGTGCATTCAGGCCCTCAGGGGTTCTAGGCTTTTTCCAGACCAGCTAGACCATCACAATATGAATATCCTTAGATACCACCAATTCAAGAGGGTAGGTTAGTTAGAAAGAAGAACCTGCAAGGGAGTAAAGAAAGATTTCTATTAATATAACTTCCAGATAGAGTGAGGGAATCAGACTTATTTTATATTGATAATATGAATAACCAATCTAAAAGTATCAAATATAAATTAGAATAGAATGATGAATGATAAAGTGATGCTTATTCTGTTTGATTCTATACATTCCTGATTGTGTTGATGATGGTGATGATGATAGAAAATAATAGCAGTTACCATATCCTGTGGGTCAGGAAATTATTTCCTATGTGTCAGGAAATTATTTAAGTGCTAGTATTTACCTTTCACAATAACCCATGAAATAGACAGCATTACATCCCCACTTTAAAAATGAGTGAATGTAGAAACTGAGAGGGCAAGTAACTAGCTGAAGGTCACACAGAGAGTAAGTGATGGAGCTGGGTTTCAGACCCAGAACTGCCTACACCTCCAGGAACTTCACTCTTTCTTACTGCTTATATGCTAACTGGATTTCTAAATGGCTCTGTGGACATTCCAAAAACAAGAACTTAACAAAGTGCTAGTTACTAATCTCTATTATCACATAAATATTACTAACATTACTATGAATGTGACAAATTTCTATATATATATTAAGAATTTTGGGTCTCAAAGTGAACTTTGAGGTAAATTTAATCAACCCTCACATCTACAAACAAGGATCTGAGCTATCTCAAGTTTCATTGAACAATAACAAAAACACCAAGGGTTCTCATTAAAGTGCTAGACAAAGTGAAGCTCTTTGTTTATATTTGTTGATAAAGATGATAATTACAGTTTGAAATAAAATGACAACGCACTAACAGGATAGTATCTGCTTACTCTGGGATTTGACACAGAATGTTGGAAAGTTTACAAACCTCATTAACTAACTTTGTTGCTGAACAATATGACAAAAATCAAGGGGCTTCCTGGACACAGGCTATTTGGCTCTCTCTTAATCATTCTGAAATTATCAAAGGTATGTCCCGGTTTAAATTATCCTTAGTGGATTAATCTTTATTAAAAAACCTGGTTGTCCAAAATTGAATTTATTGTTTACTCAAGCAGAGCAAAGCCTTTCTAAAAGTAATTAAAAATAAAAGCAATAATTTTTCAATAATTGAAAAAGCAAAAACCAGTCAAAATCAATTACAGAATAAAGCCAATATCGACCATTATAGAATAAGACCATTGGCTAAAAGTAAGAAAGAGAAAATTTGACTAGTACCTTTTTAAATTACTATTGATTTGTTTTTTAACCCCTCCATCTTTAATAGGATCATTTTTTTCCATAACCAGTTTACTAGTTATTTGGGAAATGTATTTTTAAGAAAAAATTTACTATCACTATAAAATGACAAAATGAAATCCTCAGAAGTTTTCAATCTCATTAATAATAACAAAAGACTAAAATGAGATACCATGTTTATGCTGTGAAATTGACAATGATAAAAGACTCCCCCCCCTCCAGTCAAATTCTTTATGTTGGTGGGGATGTGAGAAAACAAGGTTAGGTGTTTTAATAATATTAGGAAATAAACTAAGGCAGCCTTTCTGGACTCCATTTGACAATATTCCTTACAGTGTGTTTTTCAAAAATATGTACTTTACACAAAAATTCCACTTCTAGGATTGTGATTTCATGTGGCCTTGTGTGCAAAGTCTTGCTTATAGTGAGAGCAATATGTGGGGTGTTCATTAAAGCAAGAAAGAAGGAAGGAGGGGAGAGGGAGAAGGAGGAAGAAAGGAAGGAAGAGAATTTAAAAAATCAAAATACCCATCAGTAGGAACTGCTTAAATAAATAAATATAGTGCAGTGCATTCATAAAAAGCAATATTATTTTTCCATTAAAAGTGATATTGTGGATAAATATTATTGAAATAGAAATGACTCACCTATGTTACTATTACTCACCTATGTTACATACTATAATACTACATTCTAGTATTTAGTAACCTATAGTTACTAAAATACTATTTGTATTTTTTAAAAAATTACAAAACTGTGTAACTGTATGCTTCCATTTATATGAATTTCAAGAACAGGCAAAACTAGTCTGTAGCAATAGATATCAGAAGAGTGTTTGCCTAGGAGAGTGGAGAGCAGGTGAAGAAAGCAGACTTATTTGAAAAGAAGTAGGGGAACTTTCTGGATTGATGGAAATGTTCCAACCTTGGAATATAGCTGGAGAGGGAGGAGGAGGAATAGGGTAAGTACATATGGCTTAAGACTCATCAAAAGGTATGATGATTGGAGAGGACTTTTGGGTGGTAGAATTATGTTTGTTTAACTTCCTTTTTTACTTTTTTTTTCAAGCTTATCAACCAGCATTTTAATAGTTAAAATAAACACAAATATACAAATGTATTCAAACAAGCATCAGTGACCCTGAAAAGAGAAAGTGTTAGTCGCCCAGCCATGTCTGACTCTTTGTGACCTTATAGACTCTAGCCTGCCAGGCTCCTCTGTTTCTGGAATTCTCCAGGCTAGAATACTGGAGTGGGGAGTCATTCCCTTCTCCAGGGGATCTTCTCTTGCCCTTAATCCAGATATCCCTTCCCACCATCTCAACGGGTAGTGTGTAGATTACCCAAAGCATCAAGGAGCTACTTGAGGTTCACGGAGCCCTGCGTTTCTGTGGAGGGACACCACTGAGTAAACCTCCTGGGCGGAGGTCTTTCCTGGTTTGCACTCACCAGTCACTTGTTTCATCTTCCAGATAGCTTCACATGCCCAAGTCACATAAGAATTTGGTCATTTTGAGGCATGCTTTAAGTAGATCTTATTTATAGAACCCAAACCCCTCTGAGGTCCAGAGGAGAAAGCTTCAAATTACTGCAGGCAATGCAAATGCTTTATGGCCCAGAGAAATTCTTTGGCAGGTGTCCTGCAAGCTTCTAAGAATGATTTTGCTATTAGTTCCAGTACCATGAACAGCCGAGCCTGAGCTCCACCCCCTCCAGTAGAGGGGCCTATTACAGACAAATTAGCCCATCTTTACCGGACAGGGAAGCCTTCTGTGCCAGATGTGTTTAAGGCCAAGGCTGGGTATCTGCCACTTCTTGCTGGCAGACATGTTCACAGGCAGCCCACAACTCTTAGCGTGGGCTGCTAGGTGGTTAACCATGCAGTCACAACTGCCTCCTAGCAATAATAGCACAAACAACCTTGGGGCAGTTAGTTGACAGGTGGAAGAGGGAGGGAATAGTGACAAGAAGATAAAACATAATTACATTCCTCCTCCTTAAAACCTCTACAGGATGGATACAAGCTGAGACCTGAGGCAGGCAGGGACAAGTGAGAACAGAAGTCTAGCATCTCCTTGGGATGCAGCCAAGGAAGCTGGTGAACAATCAGAATTAGGAGAAGCTTGGGCTCAACAATGTGGCTTGGATCTGGATCGGGATGTCCACAGGATCTATCTCACTAGCCCATTAGACATCTTGCCCACAGGTCCTTAGACCTACCTGGTCTCAAACTGAACATCCCTGCATCGCCTCTACCCGGCTGCTTCCTTCGCAAAGCCATCTCAGTGAACGGTACCCCAGGCTACCACTTTATCAGAGAAAGAACCTAGAAGCCATTTTAGACTTCCTCCCTCATCTTCCACACCTGATCAGTTACCAAGTCCTATCAATTCTATCTTCTAAATAATCTTTCTGACCAGCCTTTCCTTCCAGTTTGTGCCACCAGCTGTCACAAAACTTGCTCTCTACTGTACGCCTGACCTTCTTAAATTACAAATTGGATCATGCCATTGTCCTAGTCCAGTCTTTCCGTGGCTCTCCATCATCTACCCGGAGGTTTCTTGAGACAATGCCTTCACTGTCAGGTATTTCAATGTCCAAAGTCAATGATATGATATAGCCAAGCAGGAGGCAGTATGGACCTGGAAAAGACCTAACCCACTTAGAGGCATTCAAGTGTAAAACTATTTTACAACAGCTGCACTGGCCCAGTAAAACTCTTTCTGAGGTCATGTTGATACTCCTGTCTATGCAGCAGAGTCCAACTCCTTAAACCCCCTGCATTTAGCTCTGGAGGGAGCTGGTATCTGCTTCTTTGGCCTCATCTTCAGCCATTCTCAGAAAGTAGCTTTCATTTTCCTAAAGATTCCATTTCACACAGTAGTGCCTTTGAACATGATCTTCCCTTAGCTTGAGCCCCTCTTCTTTCCCTATCTTGCCTGGAAACTCTCATTTTAAGACCTCGGCTGCTGGCTTTCTGGAGTCCCAGGGAGAGTAATACTTTGGACATACATCTGTTATTGTTTTCTTCTTTGTCAACTTACAAATATTTATTTTTCTCCCCTACTAGACAATACTTAGGGGACTTGTCTAAAATTGCACAAATTATATGCTACAAAATAAACAGCAAAGGCGAAATTTTCTAGAGACAGTTTTCCTCCACATAGCTTAAAGGTTGAAAAAATGTTTGAATATCACAGAACATTTTTATTTATTTATTTATTTGGTGTTAATCTTTAGTATCTTTAGAGAGTTAATGGAGAATTTAAGGGGCTTCTGAATATGCACTACTCTATGACTAAAGTCTGTCTAAAGACAGTCTCTGCCCACAAAACTTTATTGAATATGATATTTCAACAATCTCTTTCTTAAACTTACTATTTTGTACTGGGGTTTAGCCGATTAACAATGTTGTGATTGTTTCAGGTGGACAGCAAAGGGACTCAGTCATACCATATACATGTATCCATTCTCCCCCAAACTCCCCTCCCATCCAGACTACCACATAATATTAGATATTGCAAAAATCTTATGCCAGAAAAGCTACTTTAGGCCTTGATCAGTTTCACAAAATGTTAACAGGATAATATTAATTATTATTGTGAATTTTTAGTGTTCAAAAGAAAGAGAGGAAGAAAGAAACTGTTACAAGTTCCAGTACCTTTTAAAAAGTCACTTGAAGAAATAAAAGGGAACTCAACTCCACTCCCACAACTGGGTCACAAGCTCCATTGGCAGAAGTAGTTGAGTGCTCAGTCACATGAAATAGTTCTATTTCTCAGAACTTGTCCAAAGGTACCTCTCCTGCCTGCAGAGATAGAAGTAAGGAAAAAAGAATCTTTCCCATACCTTTAAGTTTGACCTGCTTCATTTTCTCCCCTCCCTTCCTGCCCATTGATTTAAGTCATTGGAGAGACATGGAAATAAAATGGGAAGTTGGAGAGGAAAGAGACAGTGAAGGATGAAGGGGAGGGCAGTAATGGGGTCTTTCGAGGTAATCCATGCCTGCAGTGGCTGGGGTTAAATGAAGCCTATCACAAAGCTACAGTAACCTCACCACTTCCTACTTTGCACATAACAGATTGAGCTCTAGCGCTGACTTAAAGGCTAATGGTCTGGAGTGAACTCATTCATTCATTGTTCACCAAATCCTCCCAGAATTCTTTTTTAATAATTATTGTTAAGATTATACATGCTTTTATTCTTATTAACCAATGTGAAAGCGATTAAGATTTGGCTGGGAAAAAAAATACAAAGGCATTCTATTCTAATATAAAATGAACATGCTAATGAAAGAAAATTGGGAAAATATAGAAACGCATGCAGGAAAAAACCCACCTATACTCCAGGATCTATATATAATTATGACTGTATTGTATGTATTTCTTACACTTTAACTTTGTTACAAGCTCTTGCCTTGTTTTTAGAAACTACTTAGTTTTTAAAAAATAGTTACATAGTAAATTTTGAAGTGGATATTGTAATTTATATAACCATTTCTCTATTACTAGACATTCGTTTTTTTCAAAGATTTTGGAATAGAAATATAGATTTAACCTTTTAAAAGCTCTCAATACCAGCAATGAGTAAACAAGAATGCCTCCAAGAAGGTGTAGGCAGCAACAGGAGAAAGATTTAGAAAGTTTTTAGCCATTGGTTTCTTTCACTAAAGAAAAACAGGTACAATATCATGAATTACGGACAAAAGCAGGAAATACTCTGAAATTTCCTCAAGAAAAATGTACTGAAGTCTTTGTTGACTTGAAGTTCCCACCTCTAGCAAGGCTTTGGGGGAAGAGAGGAATGTTGAACAAGGAGTACAGATAAATGAGAGGTGGTGTAAAGATATGAAGTTGGGATAAAGAAAACACAAGCTCTTAAGTGACACCCTGAAGAGTTTTTCTCCCATTGCTGCCTTGGATGGTGACTAGACTATCTGATAAGCTTGCCACAAATCCTTAGGTGGAAGGAACCCTTTCTTAAATAACTTTAACAACCATTTGTTAACAGTAATCTCCTTTCTACCCTAAGTGTTTTTTCTCCAAATCATTCATGTTTTCCCACGATCTTTATACTTTACCAGCCACAGAGTAAGGGGCAGATGTTGTTTCACAGAATGCATGTGGCTGGAATCACCACTGTGGGAAAGAATGCTTTGAAAGTAATAGAGAATTTAGAGTCTCCCTAAACAGAATTTTCCTGGACTTTTGTGGCAGTCTGGGGGAAACATGCGACTATTGTTATACTTTCATTTGATTTTCACTTAAATCAAATTTTTTCTAGATAGTTATCTTAAGGAACTTCCTTGGGAGTCCAGTGGTTAACAATCCACCTTCCAGCGCAGGGGATGTGGATTCAATCCTCGGCTGGGGGACTAAGACCCCACATGCTGCAGAGCCTGTTCACCACAACTAGAAAGAAGACTACACAACGCAATGAAAGGCCCACCTGCCATAACTGAGACCCAGCACAGCCAAAAATAAATATTTTTTAAAAAGAAGTTAATCTTAAAATTTTAAACTCATTCTGTTTTGCCAAAAGTGTTTTCAATGATTATCGCAGTTTGTCCTCATGAAACTCTGAGAGATGGGTGGGCAGGTATTAATACCTCCACTTCAGAAAGAAAACAGTTGAAGATAATAAAGGCACTGCCATCCGAACCCAGAGAGCCTGTCTGTCAGCCCAGCGTGCCGTTCCCTACAGACTAGGCTGTCACAGTGGCTTTGGCAAATGGCATTGTTAGAAAACCTATGGACAAAAGGCTCGTGCTTCTGTGGTCAGGTATCTCACAACAGCTTTGTACTACAGTTTCAAACCTAACTTATAAACCCTGAGAATTTTCCTCAAGTACATATTGATGTATTCTGTCTTAAAACCTCCCTGTGCACACGTGCTACGTCAGTTCAGTCGTGTCCAACTCTGTGCAACCCTACGGACTGTAGCCCACCTGGCTCCTCTGTCCGTGGGATTCTCCAGGCAAGAATACTCAAGTGGGTTGCCATGACCTCCTCCTGGGACTCTTGCCCACCCAGGAATCAAACCTGCATCTCTTATGTCTCCTGCATTGGTAGGAGGTTCTTTACCACTAACGCCACCTGGGAAGCCCCAGACTTCCCCTAGTTTCTTCAAATGTGAATTTTAAAAATTTCTTATCTAATTAGCCCACATATAAGTAGAAACCAAAGATAGTTTTATCATTAATTTTTTCAAAATGTTAAAAGAGATAGACAAATCTTCACATATAGTACCATATTTGAAAAACTATGGTTGAAATTTAAATGGTAAGCAAAACTATGAAATGCAGGTGTGTCTCTTAAACGCAGAAAAACTACACTATGTGTGGCTTAAATAAGTGACTATTTATCCTGACATTACCTGACTCTGTCAAATAAATTAGAACAATACTTTTTTCAATGATTAGATACATAAATGTTCAACCTGAAAAATTCATCAATAGAAAATGCATCTGTGTATGGATGTTTGCCTTTTAAACTAATATGACTTGATAAAAAACTGGAATACAGAAGACCCCTGAAGAATATAAAACTGAAATAGAAGATGTCTTCTAAACACAATACTTTAATGTATTACTAATTTTCTTTTCAAAAATGAAAGGAAACTGGTAATGGAAGCTACCTTCACTAGAGATAGGAGGTATCTGTGTATGCATATGTGTATGCATGTGTGTTATTGTCAAAGAGCAATTTTCAAGAGCCCTCAGCTAGCCTCTGAATATGGTTGTAATTTAGCACTTGACCACCCTGAATTAAATGCTGTACTCTATATGGAAATACTACTTTGTACTGTTTCATGTTTCCTGAAAAGACTGCAAGTGTCTTCAGGTTAAGAACTCGGTCTTCTATTTCTTTTGTATCCTCCACAAAAGTGCCTGCCACAATGTCTGTATTGAATTTAAAGAAATAAATTCATCCAGTGTTCCATGAGAACCAGTCCAACTAACCATCCAATCTTTTAAATAAGTTATTCTCATTCTCTAAGCTATAAAACCCAAACCAAATGTTATCATTATTATTTCATGGAACATCTTGACCCTACAGTAATCTTCATTTATGATATGGCTTCAAGTATGATGATGATGGTGATGATGACTTTTCTGTGGTCACTCCCTGAAGGCTTTAAAGCCTCAGACATATTTGTAAATGTAATGAAGGTGGTAAGGCAGTAACTGAAAGCAGTGAGTCCATCACCATTGAATCTCTTGTAAGTTGTTCACAGCATGTGGAGAGACCTCTTAGGAAGGTGAGTTGGAATAATCACATAGTTATCTGGAAGCTCAGCCACATTAACTCATATTGACCTATAAGTATTACTGGAAAAATTCTTGTCCTACCCAAATCTAAAATCAATTCCTTTTCATTTGACCGGTATTTACTAAAACTGCCTTTGCTGTGTTCTATCTGGTTCTAGACAATTTCTGTCCCTACAATCTGAATTTTGATTTACAAGTTTATGAGCAACTCATGACTGTAATATCTTATTATTGAACCCCACATCTGGACTGACAGTGTCACCTGATTCCAACTTTGACTCTAGCTTCCTAATAAAAAATCAGACTCCTTTTGCCCCTGTCTGTGATTTATAGGTGGGTCTGCTTCAGGTAGTAGTCCTTAATCTTTTTGAGGGGTTCCCTGAAAAATGTATGAAAACTACGAACTCATCTCCTCTAAAAAAGATACATATGTTCACAAACACACAGAGATTTGCATACAATTTCAAGAGGTTCATGATCCTTTAGAGGCTCCTTATAAGGAACATCTTACTGGCAGTAACCTACAGTGCAAAAAAAACCCAAACCCTGCAAAAACAATGCACATCTGTATAATCTAGGATTGGTTTTTATATCTATCAGTGAATAACTTCCTTTTAACTTACAGATATAAGGGAGAAAGAGATAAACTCAGCTATGCAGAACCAAATTAATGAACTTATATGGATCTGACCTACAAGTTTCTAAATAGCCAGAAAAGGTCAAAGACCTCCTCTGTTTTAGTCACTACAAAGAGATACAATTAACCTTTGCTGGAGTTTGATAAAAGCTAGTTCTTGTTTTTATGACTTCCAAGATTTTCCTCCTAAAAAAGTCACCAACGTGCTATATGTATGTTATAGAAATGTTGGAAAGTAAGGAAAAGCATTAAGAATTTTTTAAATCTCTCACAATCCCGGCAATAAAGACACCCAATTGTCAATGTTTTAGTGCACTAATTTTCAGTCTTTTTTATTTATATTTGTTAGACTTTCACAACCTCCTTCCTTCAAATTCTCCTTCACTTTTATATAAGAACCTGTTATGCATTCAAAGACTTAGTTCAATCTTTAGGCATATACAAAACCTCCAGGTGGCCTAGGACTTGTCCCAGGCCTGCACACTTTGAGCTCTGAGTGCAAATTCACCTCCCAGTTATCTTTATCTAAACAAAGCATGGTCTCTAACTGAAGGTTAGGCATCCATGAGAGGCTGCTATTGTGTCTTCTGTTATTAGCTCTCCATCAATGCTTGTCACTGTGATGATAATTACAGTTCTGGAATCCTGAGTTCAACTCTTGTTTCCACTGCCATCTTCCAGTTTTGTGAAGGAGATAAATTACTTAACTCATCTGTACTTCAATATTCTCATCTGTAAATGAGTACCTGGAAAGTATGTAGAACAGACTGTCACCAGGAAGCGTTCAGCGGATGCTAGCTATCATTGCTATCATTTATATGTTGTTGTTGCTTCCATTCCTCCATGATGCTTTCTGTGTTGTGTTAGTCCTGCTGTCACTCTTGATCAAAGAGGTAAATACTCCCATTTTTAAATATGATCACAGCCCCCAAAGTAACAATAATTATTTAATATCATAAAATAGTCAGTGTTCACATTTCCTAATTATCTTCTAAATGTCTTTTGTTGTTTGAATCTAGAGCAAAAGAAGGTCTGTACATTGCAACTGATTAACATGAGTTCTTTTATGAGCAGACATCCTTTTCTTGCCTTTTATTCCCAAACAAAAATGTAAAATTGTTGTGTAGCAAAAATAACCCTCTTCAAATGAAGCAGAAGTTCAAAATGCTGTCCTGGAGGAGTCAGTGAAAATGTCAAGTCATTGCCTTTGCCGAGGAGATAAGCACTTGGCCTATACCTTTCTCTGAGTGATAAAGAAGGAAAGGAGGAAGTGTGCTTCCCAGTAAACTTTTTTATTAGCCACAGAGAACTGCATTACAAACACGATGCTCATGAAACAAAGTGCTCTACAGTAAGTAGGAATTGAGGAAATAGAAAATGGATTGTAAATCTGGAAACCATTGCTTTATTTCAGTGAAAGAGAAGATTCTAAATGGTCAAAACAAACAGTCTACTTTTAAAGTTCTGCAAATGGGGGTTGGATTGATGAGTCCTATTTAGGATTTTTAATCCTAAACCTTGAACCTATTAAGGCTTTTCCATTTTCAAACTTTTCTCACTCCATTCTAGTCTGTCTTTGGTAAAAGAAAAAAAACAAAAAATCACTTAAGGTGACAGGAAATTAATCCAAGAGTTCCACTTTCACTGTTAAGACTGTCTCTTCCAGATTCCACCTTAAACAAAGCTCCCTTTGCATTTTAAAACAGAAAGAAACTCCAGTGTTAGAACACAACACACATGAAATAATTATCATGTAATAGAAGCAAGATAAGCACACAGTAATATAGTGCAGGGGTTAAGAACCTGGACTGCAAAGAGAGAACACTGCCCTCTGTTTCTTTGCCTGTAAAATGGGGACAATAAATAGAAATTGCTTCATAGAAGAGCTGCTGCTGGGGTCACTTATATGAGATCATGAGAAGCACCCAGCACTGGCTAACACTCAGTAAAGACTGGCTATTATTATGATGAGAAAGACTCAGGAAGGGTTCTTTTGTCATGACTGGTTTTATCACAGAGGGAGTTTACTTCTTGGTAACATTGTGAGTCAGTTACCACAGAAGGCGGCAAGCTCCCTGCACAGACATTGTTAAAAGAACCCAGGTCAAAGAAGTATTCTATACAGGCAGTGTTAAACTGTTTCCCTCTCTGGGGTCCCAAACATTTGAAAATAGTACTAGAAAAGGCTCTGTGTATAATAAGTTCTAGGTAAGACAATACTGTGGTAAGTGAACTAAACAGCGATTAACTTGAAATTGGACTCTGATCCCAAAGGGAACCAGCCAGAGTAGCCCAGTCCTAACTGGCCCTGAGGAGGAAAAACAAGCTTGCATCTATCTCAACTATGATCTGGCTAGATATGATCTAAGCTGTGAACAGTGCCTTTCAGGTGGATAATACACATTAGACAGCACTAAGGAGGGAGCTTTGAGCTGGGGTGTGAGGAAATGACGCAGGGAAATGAAGACCTAACATATGAGATTCAGCCTTTCTCTACTCTCTCATTTCAGTCACACAAGTTTTCCTTTTCTTTTCTCTCAAATAATTGCAAAATGTATTAAGTTAATCAGTTAACAAAAAGGGGTGGTAGTTGCTATTCATAGTATCAAAGCATTCATTTTCAATGATTTGTTGCAGAACTCATTTTAAATAAAGTTCCTTCCCTCATAATGCAAAAACCCACAGCCCTTCCCAAGGCCCTCTCCATTACTCCTCAAATCCCTGAGGAAAGGGGGGAGAAAGAGATCTTCAATGAAATCTTCCTTATTAATACCTTAATCTTATGGGTTTTTTTTTTTTTAATGCTTTCTAGTTTTAAAGGACTTTTAGATCCATGGTTGTAGCTTAGGTAAGCTTTATACAAGATAGTATAAATCCTACACATTTGAGAGGTGAGGAAAAGCTACCTATAGTAGTTAGGCATGTGTGAGACTTGAACTCAAGATGTTTTCAACCAAGTCCTACAGTCTGAAGCCAGAAGCATGTGGCCCTGTGCTCACACTCACTAGTTCTGTGCTGCTGCCTTTCCTGCCTTTGGTGAGCTGGTTCCATGCATCTTCCTCTTTCCTCCCCAGTTAATTCTGATTGGTGTTTCACCTAATTACTACATAGGAAGGACTTGAGGGAACCAACATTTACCCAACAAGCATTTACTGAACGCCAGCTAGAAGCCAGACCTTAGAAGAGTTTTAAGCAGAAACTTAGTCTTCCTAGTCATTTAAAAAGACTACAGTGAGATTAATCACTTTATCAATTTGAACCAATGATCTAAAAATAATATTTGCATGTTAGCCCTACTGGGGTCCCCAGCTAGCTGTGCTCTGTCCCTGTTTGTAAATCTGGAAATAAACTTCAAGTGCCTTCTCTAAGAAAGTTAAGGCCTAGAAAATGTCTCTGCACAGCCTTGGTAAGGTTTCCAATTGTGTCTTGGTAAAACCTCATTTCTACTTATTCAACATTAAGTCATTGTACAATCTTGCACCTGCTAGGTTCTAAGGGCAAGAAGACAAGTTACACGCAGTAGATCTTAAACTAAAGGAGGTCAAGGCCTAGAAAAACAACACTAATGCCCACTCTGAGCTCTCCAAAGCCCTCCCCCTCCTCTGAATAGTCAATCCTCACAGTTCCCTGGGCCAGAAGTGGAACTCACGTCCCCGAACCCGGCTGCAGGCACACGAGTCGTTTTCTTTCATTTCTGCAGACTCTCCTCACTCCCTCCCTCCCTGGTCTTTGCGTAAGTCCCAGTTCTCTCTGCCTTGAAAATGCTCCCGGTCTACTTTTAGCTGCTCCTCCTCCTCCTCCAGCCTCAGCTCTCGCCCTGCTGCTTTTTCTGACTTGCAGATCTGGTCAAATCTCCCCATAAAACCCTTTACCACCTGAGACCTTTGTCTCAGGTCATTTTACACATTTGTCGTTTTACACGTAGTTGGGTGATCGTTTAATATTTGTCTGCTCTCAGGTGCCTACGCTCCGGGCAGGGCAGGGACTGGTTTGAGATGCCTGGCACTCAGGAGGCCCTCCAGGAATGAAAACTTAACTGTCAGATGGGGCTGGACTTAGGCTGCTCGGGCCCTGTGGAGGTGACAGGATGGAGCGGGGTGAGGGGCTCCCCTGGGCGTCCTTACCAACTTCCTTACATTAAGGTACGTCTCCTGGCTCCTATCCTGGCGCTTGTGTGAAAACATAAAAGTCATTCTTCCAAGTCCCCGAGAGACTGAGCGCCCCTAGATAGCAGACATTCCATTCTATTTGGTGATGGCGGCCCCAACACCTGGCCATGTCTGTTACTTAGCATGAGATACACTCAGAAGATACTAGCGGTAGCCAGCATTTGATGAGTGCCTTCTGGAGGGCGGGATAAAACGGGAGCCGTTATCCAGGGCTTCTAACAAACATGAGTTGCTCTTCAACTTGACTAAGCTTGAGTCTAAGCTTGAGTTGACTCTTCAAAGAATACAAGCGACGCTACCCCCAACCAAAAAAAAGGATAAAAAAATAAAAATAAAAAGGAAATGTGCTTTCCCCCTCTCCCCTGGAAAACAAAAACAATAAAACGTCTTCATCAACGTCTTCACCTTTCCAGGCCTCACTCGTCCGCCCCGCACTTGACGGGCGTTCTCTAGACGTCTACACAGTCACTACAGAGGCTGCCAGCGCAACGAGGCCTCCAGGCGTTTTCTGACCAGGAGAGATTTTGCCGAGGACGTACGTGGTTAGGCCCCGCTCGTGGAGAGGCTATTTACGGTCCTCGCAGGTAATATTACGGGGCTTATAAACACGGGAGTGACGTCTTTGCCTCTTTCCATTCGCTGGCACCTACCTAGCCGCCCGGTTCTCCCGCGCTGGGGCGGAGCACCAGCCCGCCTGCCGCGCCGAAATCCAGCCGCCTTAAGGCTGAGGCCCCGCCCCCGACGCCCCTCCCCCGCCGCAACGGTTCCCGGCGCGCAGGCGCACAGGGCGGTGCGCCGAGGAGGGGCGGGGCGTGCGCTGCACCTTAAATACGGCGAAGGGGGCGGTGCGAAGTTGCCGCGGCGCTGCTGCCCAGTCGGCACCAGTTTCAGCAACTGTCTCCTCGTGGCGCGAGCCTGGAGCCTCGCTTTCTCCGGCAGCGAAGGCGGCAGCAGGAGGGAGCGGAGGCGACCGTGCGGCGGGCTCGATGGAGAGCGGCGGACGCCCGGGCAGAGGCGGCGCTTCCACCCCGGCACCCGGGCTCCAGTGACCGACGCTCGCGCTGTGCTCCGCGTCGGAGCGGTCGTCTGCTCCGGGACTGACCCGGCCTCGCTGCCCTTCCCCGCGCCGCCTCCTCGCTTCCCTGCGCCCCGACTCGCTCTCGACCCCACTGCCCGGCGGGGTGGCGGCGGCCGGGGCAGCAGCGGCAGCAAGAACCCGCCTCTATGATGAAGTTCAAGCCCAACCAGACGCGGACCTATGACCGCGAGGGCTTCAAGAAGCGGGCGGCGTGCCTCTGCTTCCGGAGCGAGCAGGAGGACGAGGTGAGGGCGGCCGGCGCGCTTGGTCCCCTCAGCTAGGGCGCCGGGGCGGGGTTGGTGTGGGAGTCCGGGCTGGCCGGGATGGGAGGTCTTTGCCCTTGCCCTTCCCTTTCTCCATCCCCTTCCCAGCAGACCCTCCGTCTAGCCTCTGGGCTGGAAGGGATTAGCCCCCTCCCTTCTTCCCTCCCGCCCTCCCTCCTTCCTTCCTTTCTCTGGGTTGATTGTGGAAACAAAGGGGCTCGCCCAGCCCAGCGCTCTCCCACCGGGTCGTGGTTTGGACGGGAGGCCGAGACGCCTCCTGGCCCCCTGGAAGGTCCCGGGCCGTCTGGGTCCCGCCTAGCAGGAGTCACCACTTTAACCTGCTAATGGAGCGTGAAACCAAATAAAACCTTGAGTGCTAACAGAGGGTAGAAATGGCGTGAATGTTGCAGCCCCAGCCCTTCTGCCCCTAGTTACATTTTCCTCTCCCCTGAAATAGCAGTTTGCGGCTTCAGTTGAATGTAGGTTTGATTATGGAATATCCAGACAGTCCCCGTGCTTTTAAAATAAAAACTCAATCGGTCTGGTTCTATCAGTTCCACTTTTTAGTGGATCCCTTAATTTACAAGCGCTTGGCGTATTTATACTGGATTAAAAAAAAAAGAAAAAAAGCCTCCTCTTTTAAAGTTTTCTGACTATAGAATGATGGGTAGTGAAAAACGTGGAGTCACCAGAAGGGAGAAGATGGACTAGAGGTGGGCAAAGTTGCCATTTTCAGACAGTAATCTCTACCTCTGCATATTTATCAGAGCTTCTTTGCTATGTTTGGCTTGACATCTGGCGAGAAGCAGTCTTGTTCTAAGAGGAAGCAGCAGTCTTCTGTTAATTCACTCATCAGCATTGGGTTGATAGTAAGGCCGTTGAGGTTTTCCTGGAGAACAGTTTATACTTATTTCTGTTACACTTATTTAATTTAAAAATGGTTCACTAGTTTGTTTTATTTTGCGTGGAGCAATAGTAGTAGTCGATTGGTAGCTGATGAAAATCTTTTAGCATTGCCACTTCTAAATGGTTAGACAGGAAAAACATTAACATTCTGAGTTCTGCTTCCATAACCAATTATGTCCAATAAAATATTAAGCTAAAGCTGGAGGCGGGAATTTAATGGCTTCCTTACTGCTAGTCCCTGTAGTTAGGATGAGTGTGACACAGTGTACTCTCTGTGGCTTATATTGTTATGCTAACAAAAATCAAAGTACTTCAGAATGGTGCTCTTCAAACTCTTGTCTTTATTTTTTGAAAAGAAACCAAGCCTTTTAGTGTTGATCGCATGCTCAGTTGGGGGTCTCTTTCCAAAGGAGTTTTCTAGAGAAATTGATGTTTTTGGCTGGGCCTGTTTATGAGAGCCAGAAAGTAGAGAATGGCTTTTAGCATTCACAAAGTCAATGGGCTTTTTAAGTGCATTCTGTTAAAAGGATTAGAAGGTCCTTGAGGGAAAGACCATGTTAGCACAAAGCAAACTTTAAATATAAAATAATACACCTGCCAAAAGTGATCAAATCTTATCTGATTGGCTCACTATTAGGTCAGGAATCTTATCTGATTGGCTCACTATTGCATAATTATTTTTTTAGTTGAGCCCTTACTAGGTGCTCAGGCACTGCCTGAAGACTTTTAAGTTTGTTACATTTAATCCTCTTAGGGCAGGTTTATAGGTGAGGAGACAGATGCAGAACAGAAGTACTTTGGCCAAATGACGTAATTAGGAAATGGTAGAGTCGGAATCCAGCATCTGGTCCCTGCTGATGCTGGGCTCTGGGCACAGGGCTAGGCCCAGAGCAGTTGGGTGCACAAGATTTGCTGAATGAGTGAGATCGTGCAAGGCTGAGTTTGGAAGACTTTCCGAAAGTAGTCACTTTGAAGTCTTGCCATGACGTGAACGTGGAATTCAGGCTTGGTAAAAACTAAGGTTCCCAGGGGAAAATATGGGAAATGGGAGGAAATTGAAACGGTCTGTATTGTGTGAATGGTAAACCAAGAGTCTGAGGAGAGCATGAGAAGTTGATCGTAGCAGATAAATGAGTTGGCTTTGTGCTTTGAAATTGTTTCTACTGTAATAAACGCTAGATTCCTAGCCTCTAGTGGAATCAAGAGACCAGTGCCATCATAAAATAAAGAGCAAGATTTGAAGAATTTATTAGATAAGCTCATTACGTAAAACTTTGTAAATCTGATAACCCTAACGGGGAGGTTGTGAAACCAAGTCAATCAGTTTGTTAGAGAATATGCTCTGAGGGAAGGCTCTGGAATTCTCTAAATAATGCACAGCTAGCTTTAACGTCTGGTTTAGATCTTCAGGATCTTCGTTTCTGTAGTTGTGTTTATAGAGTGTAAAGTGAAATAAAATAGTAATTGCTTTTTGACCCTCAAGCTATGCAGTGTTCCAGTCTGGCTTTCTACTTAAGGGGTTCTAAGTAGACTTGAGAATAGGTTTTTGTAGCACGGAAGGGTGTTCTCACAGCAGTTTTTATTCTTTGGGGTGTGGTTTTATGTATTTTCCCGTTGCATCTCTTTCTTCCCTGCGAGGTAGATAATCAACATTAGCATTTGTAAAGGAAGAAATTAGGCAATGGAAGTGACTTGTCTCAAGGTCACAGAAGCTGGCAGATCATTTTGAGCCCAGGCCCTTTATTTCTAAATCTCTTGTTCATTTGATCCTCTCCAGCTAGTTATTTCTATAGGGAACCACCCTTACTTTTGACAGTTGGGCTTCCAGTCAAGGCAACAAATAAGTATTCCATAGAAGAGCTGGGATCTCTGCCTTTGCAGTGAAAGTGGACAGTGCATTCACAAACGGGAATCTGAAATGAATTCCATTGAACATATTTGCATATATGATGGTTGAAACCAGGCCACAAGATGAAAAGTGTCGGCTCCTAAGGAACATCTCTACAGCAGGAGGTTAGACAGATGACTCATATAAAAAGAAAAAAAAGTCATAACTCTTTTCAACCCCATGGACTGTAGCCCTCCAGGCTCCACAAAAAATTCTCTAGGCAAGAGTCCTGGAGTGGGATGCTGCTATTCCCTTTTCCAGGAGATCTTCCAGACTCAGGGATCAAACCCGGGTCTCCTGCATTGCACATAGGCTCATTACCCTCTGACCCATCAGGGAAGCCCATGAAAGGCAGTAAAGTACTGGTAAAGTACTGTCGGGCTTCCCATCTGGTGCTAGCGGTAAAGAACCCACCTAACAGTGCAGGAGACAGGAGACATGGATTAGATCCCTGGGTCAGGAGGATCCACTGGAGTAGGAAAGGGCAAAGTTAGTATTCTAGTATTACTAGTACTCTAGTATTCTTGCCTGGAGAATCCCATAAACAGAGGAGCCAATAGCACTACAGTCCACAGGGTCGCAAAGAGTCAGACATGACTGAGCGACTTAGCATGCAGGCAGAAGTACCATCAAGTGCTCCAGAGTTAAGATTCAGCATGAGTCATTTGGAGTTGAATTTCAGTGAGTGGGTAGGGAAGGGCCAAACATCATAAACAGAGCAAGAGTTGGGGCTGTGGTCTAATTGAACTGTAGCTTAGGAGAGCAGAGAACAAATAGTGGCTGAGAAATGAAGAGCACCTTCAGTGTAAGATTAAGGAGTTGCTTGCTGTATTTCAGTTTTAGATGTATGCAAGTTTGGGGATGATCTGGCAGCGAAATAGGATAGAATTCTAAAGAGAGAAACAGAAATGACTTGATCCTGGGTGGAATCCAGGCACAGTTGCAAGTGAGAAACGTAGACAGTCTTAAGAACTTGCATTTGGACTTTTTGCAGTAATTAGCTTGTAAGCTCGCTGAGCCAGTAGTCTTGAAACTTGTGGAACTCTAAACCAACTCTAAACCAGAGCTCTAATAAACACAAACTAAGCCTTCCACGTAGCTCAGATGGTAAAAAATCTGTCTGCAATGCAGGAGACCCAGGTTCCATCCTTGAGTCAGGAAGATCCCCTGGAGAAGGGAATGGTAAATCACCCCAGTATTCTTCCTTGGAGAATCCCATGGACAGAGGAGCCTGACAGGCTATATAGTCCATGGGGTTGCAAAGAGTGAGACCTGACTGAGCAGCTAACACTACTATTGAGAAATATCAGGGCTTCTCTCTACTAGCACTTTAACCCCTAGAATCAGTAAGCCTTTTCAGACGTGTATTCTGGGGCTCTTCCTAAGAGCGTTAAGTCCTTGAAGGTTCTTACTTCAAATGGAAACCACTTTCATCAGAAATAACTATCCAAAGGTGGCCTTTTCTAACTGCCAGGAAATGGCACCAGCCTCCTTCATCTGTGCCTGCAGCTTTCTTAGACCTAGAGAAGGGCTGCTTAGCCTACCCAATCAGCCACTTCTTCAAGGGAAGACCCTCATGTACGATTTGCATCC